TGACAAATATTTCCTGCTTGGTTTAGGCCTGCTGGACTTCTGGATTGTTAGCTGCAATGAATAATCATTCTCTGCTCCCTTTCCCAACGCTCCATAGACTTCTGATCAAAGCCACAGTCTCACTCTACTTGGCATGGATGTGTACAGAAGCTGTTCCACACTAGTGTTAATTCCTGCTGCCCTTCTCTGTGCATTTCATTATTGTATTCTGTGTTTTTTTTAGATAACCAGAACACTCTGTAGCATTTAAAGGTTTGCTGTGCTCTGTAGCATTTAAAAGGCCCTCATTAGGAAAATGGTCCTATAATGTCCTCCTTTCTTTTCACCACAATTCCTTTCCTAGCAATCACTATTACATTATTATGAATAAATAACAGTTAAAATTGATATTGCTGATAATTAACTAGGCTAGGACTCTTATTTTTATAACTTTTTCATACTAATTTTTGTGCTAGACACTAATATTTTCATAATGCTATAGAGCAGTTTAAAGATAGACTTTATTATTGTTACAAAGCCATAACTAGTCATATGAGCAGAGACAGTCCAAAGGCTCTGCAAGTTTTAAGTTCCGTTCAGCTGAAGTAAATCATCATCTTTGTCAAGGAACAGTAAACAAAAGACTATTCTAAGACGTGGAAGTTATTTTAAGGTACTTTAGAGTACAAAAATAAATTTCAATTATATGGACAACATGTAACTCATCGTGTTTCTTAATTTCTTTCTACCAAGATTTCACTGATGCAGGAGTCAAAAGAACCCATAGAGTTCACAGAAGCCAGCCAGCCTGATGATGAACTTGATGTTCAGGAAGAGGTAAGAACTTCAGAACTGAAAGTGTCCATCCCTCTGCCTGTAGCCTTGAGTCATGCTGTGGGAGTATGGCCCTCAGCAGGCACCTGCTCCATAAATACTTACCCTCTCTGGATACTGAATGTCAGTGCTAGGTGGAGGAAGTCACATTTTTCTTGAGATGGTAGTAGATTATATTTGCTTAATTATCTCCTCATCTCTCTTGCTTTAGAATTACTTTTGCCTTACACAGGCTTATCAGTAGATCTAAATATAAACTGGGCACCTAAAAGAAGACTTTGTAAGGCTTGAGGCACCAGAGCCCAAAATGATGATCAACCTTCTCCTTTCATTCCTCCTTTTAACACAGCAGACAGTTTCTTGCACAACCTGCACAGTTTACAGAAGTTACTTTCTTTGTACTTTCACTGAGCTTTTAGTTTACACAAACATGTCATTTTCCCAGATGGTGTATGTACACTGAGAACTAACCACAGCCTGTTTCTCTGCACCTTTCCAAACCCATTTCCCTAGGCTATGCGCCGACTTGCCTCCTGAAGGACTGCTGGTACTGCCCTGCCTGTGAGAGCACAGCAATATCCACCCACCAGTACTATCCATACCAGCATTTTCTGCTATGAAAACAATCTTTGCACTTGAAGAAAACCCTGATTGTTTGTCTGAATGATACAGATCTCTATAACTCTCCAAATTTTAGCTAGCATTATCCCAGAAATATTCTGGACTTTGATTCTGCAAGCACTTTCTGCTCTGATATATATTAATAAAAAAGAAAATCAGAAGACTATTGTGAAAGATGTACTCAGTTTTGGGACTAGTCAGGCAGAAGTTGCACTACACTTTTATCAGTGTGTACAGGACGAAAAGCTGCTCTGTGGCCTGCCCAGGAGAGTGGAAGAGACCAAAACCTTTGGATGGCAAGCCTTTTGTTCAATATTTCTACAAAGCCTAGTGAAAGGGCTGGAGTTCCAGCTGGCCAAGGCTTTGAATTCAAGAACATTTGTGTGAGAATATGTGCTGACAAGCCTTGAAAAATGTACCATGATCATTTTTTTCAAGCAATTCCTAAATTGCTGCAGGTAGTTAGATCACTGAAAGAGGTGACAGGTGAAACTGTCACATGAACAGGAAACAGCACTGAACCACAGTAAAACTTCAAATAGGAAAAGTTTCTAAAGACTCTTGGATATGGGTTCAATAGATCTGTATTGATCCCATTGTAGCAAGTCTTGCACCCTATTAAGGATTGTCCCTTAAATAAGGGACAGAGAAGATTATTTTGGCTAGGTTACATAATCTTCATCCAGAGGCAGATCATGACATAAATTAAGGAAAACCTTAGTCCCTGGGTACTTAATGAAATCTGTAAAACAGGCTGATACTGAGTGTAAGCAAGAAAGTCAGGATGTGACCTAGTGTTGACATTTGGGTTTTTAAATGGAATATAGATGTATTTTTTGTTTAATGAATAGTTATATTTTTATAGAGATTTTTTTCTTTTAATAGTCTACATCAAACTGCTGCTGTTCTTTTACATATGAAAGTTCATAATGCACAAGTGCAATAATTCACAGAAGATAAAGATTTGAGCAGCAAAATTTTAATCCTTAACTAATATTCTTAGCTTTCATGAAGAAGAAATGTATTTTGATGGAAAACTGACTGCTACCTTAATTTTTTTAGCATTACATTATTTTTTAAATGGGAAAAAACCCTGCATTGTAAGGAAACAGATAAAAACTGAAGTGTAAGAAATGTTCAGGTACAAAATGCCTTTAAGTTCAACAATGTGGAAAATTACCTTCAGTATATTTAATTCTCCTTACTTGATTTCATCAGAGAAATTTTCTCACATTACACTGAACAGAGATTTCTGCTGCAGGTAGCAGTGAAAGAGCTAAGCACTAAATAAATTATTCTGGCTTCAGGATCCTAGGGAAAAAAATCAGGGAAAAAAAAATCCTACAAACTTTGGCCAGTTGGACAGTATCTTAAATAATGGGTAACAGCACCAATCTAAAATCTGCAGTCTCTTGTTAAGGCACAGACTTCAGCCTTCACAACACTGAAGTTTCTCAGTACAGACACTTGAATTTAGGTGATGTTGGTGCTCCAGTCCAAGCCAGCAAACAGCAGGATTGTACTCACAATGTACATAGGCTGTGGGGTGGGCATCTCCACCATCTGAGGATGGGGCAAGTGTTCAAGAGACAAATCAGACCACTCTGCACCTCTGCAGATGGGAACATTCATTTCTGTTGGCACCAGTGCTTCAGCCCAGCCTGTGATTTGCCAATTCATGCTTTTAACTCTACCTGTCCTCCTCCTGTCCCCTTGCCAGCCTCTCACACGAGGCTGGCACCTCAGCCATGGCCCCAGCTCCTGTTAACCTGACTACTGCAACAGCTGCCAGTGCACAAGGCCAGTGACATGTTTTTTAGAAGCTGTTCTGCTTTTCTGAAACAGATGTAAATTTTAAGTAAAAAGTAAAATAATCTACTTGGTAAGTGAGCTTTCAGCTAATTGTTATGCAGGACAGTCTACAGAAAGATGTTAAAAAAATGGTAGTGGGTTTTTTTTTCCCTCAAGGCAACATCTGCACTGTGAAGTTTGAGTACAGATTCTTACTTGACAGAGATGTCATTACATTCTTTTTTGAACTTTCTCTAGTTCTTGTCTGTACAGGTATTTAAAAAGCAATTAAATACTCAACAGTCTTCCAGTTCTTTTCCAAACAGGACATCTGATCTAGGATTGTGATAAAATACGATAAAATGCACTTATTCTTGGCCCGTGTATTTCTTCCAGGCATGGTTGTTCTTAATTTAACAGGCACAAAATATTAAACATCTTCTGAAAAACAGCATTTCTCTCAAAGCCTACAGTGGCACAGAAGAGTAAGATGTAGTATGCAGAATGCACTCAAATGCCTTTCTCAGTGGTTATGTGCTTAATTTTCTATGTATCCATCAAAATTAAGGATACCAAAATAATGGATTTTGCAATTAAGCTAAAATTCTCTAGTTTTGTACTAATTAAAATATCTTTCTGTAGTGTAACTAGATGTGCTTATTTTTTTCCAGTAGGATGAAGAAGTGGTATTTTTGTATCCATTTTGAGTATTACTATTCTGTCTTTGCATGTCAGATATCAAATTTGGAGATGTATTTTAAGTTTTTTACACTTTTAAAAAGCTGCATTTGAAAAGTAATTGTACCCATTAACTAGAAAATAAAGTTGTGTATACTGAAAATGTGCGCCTTGTGTCTGTATGTTTGGGGGTTTTTTAGTTTTGGGGTTTTTAAGTCTTCTCTTTGTGAATTCCTATTATGTGGAGATAAAGCATTTTATGAAGGGATCAGTGTCACTCTTCCCTTGGGTCTGTTCTGAGGATCAACAAAGACAAAAGGGAAAACCTGTTCCCTCTGCCTTGTGCGGGTAAGACAAGAAATGCTAGACTTTAATGGCAGCCTTTAAATGTTAAGGCTATAAAAATAATGAGAGACATTGTCTGTAGGGGCACAAGATCCCAACCCGGGAGGCTTTTAGTGAGACAATCACCCCTGTGAAGCACATGGAGTAGAGTTACCCATACTTTAGGGTTGTGGAAGGACTGCTCGAGGCCATTTGCTACTTAAAACCTATGATTTCGTTTTACTTTTATTTCTTTCCCTTCTTCAGTGCTATTCTTCAGCATCGCACTGAATTACACGGGAATTACAAAATGCTAAATTTAAGTCCGCTCCTGAGCTAGTGAACTCTGTAGCTGTGAAGCTTCTGGAGATTCACTGTTCCATCACTTCTACAGGGTGTCAGCAATCTGCCATTTCCATGCAATGTGCCATTTCCACGCCACAACTTGAGGCGGACCAGCAGCAGCCGAGAGCGCGATGCCGCTCGCACCTTCCCAGTGCCTGAGGCCCGCACGGCACTGGGGGCCGGCCGGGGCCTCCGCGGCTCCCGAATGGAGAGACCCGCTCATGTTGTCACTCCAGCCTTCCCCCCAAACCCAGGGGGCCGCCTCCCAGTCCCAACGAGCCGCGGCTCCGCACGCCGAGGCTGCCGCGTTCCGGCCCGGCCCGGCCTGGCCTGGCCCGGAGCGCTCTGCCGGGGCCCGGCCAGCGCGGCCCCGCCGCCCGCGCCCCGCCCGCGCCGCCGCCGCTTCCGGCCGCGCCCTTCCGCTCCCACAGCGCCCCGCGCCGCATCATGGACCACAATGGTGAGCAGGGGGAGGCCGGGGGCCCGTCCGTGCCCGGCCCGCCAGGCCCGCACCCGCCGCCGGGCGAGGAGCGGCCAAGCGGGGCCGGCGGACGCGGGGCGGCGCAGGGGCGGCGGCGGCGAGCCCGGCCCGGCCCCCGGGAGCGCCGGCGGGGCTCGGGCGCGCCGCGGGGCCTGGTCCCTGCCCGGGCAGGCGCGGCGGCCCGGGGCCACCTTGGGCCCGGCGGCGCCCGGCGCTGCCCCCGCCCCGAGGGCGCTCGGCCGGGCTGAGGGGCCCTGCCGGCGGCACGGCACGGCCCGGCCCGGGCGGAGCGGCGGGCGCTGGTGGCGCGGCCGGGCCGGGTGCCGGGCCCGCAGCACCGGATGCGGCCGTGACGTGCCGGAGGTGGGGCAGAGACGCTCGTTTGCCCGCGGCGTTCCCCGGCATCGGTGCCCGTAGTGTGTTTCCCCATTCCGTGTTTGTTTGGGGCCCGAGGGAAACTTGCTCGTGTGCTTAAATTCGGTTGCGTGGTTTGAGTGCCGTTTGCCGGTGAGCGCGCTGGCGTAGCTGGGGTCCTTTGCTGGTGCATGCGCTGGCGTAGTGCAGTGAATAAATGAATGGACGTGGGCTTTGTGCTAGGGTGGTTTTGGAGGTTTTTTCCCTTTCCCCTACAAAAGATTGCGTTATGACTCTATCTGTATAAAGTATTTGGGCTGTATTTTTGCATGTTAATAAAGATTGAAATGCACAAATAAAACTTAAGTTGATGAAGGTGACATTTCAGTAGGTTGCATCATCTCTAATTAGAACTTCTTTAAGTAGTCTCAACAAGTTTGGTATGTTTGTCATAGTTTTTTCTGGACATAATCCCGCATATTATGCTCCTGCACAGTGGAATTTATTATCCTTCCATGAAGCATGAGTGACTAATAAACTTCCTAGTTTGGGTTAGTTAAGCAGCTAACTCATGTAAATATTCCTGGATTGAAAGGATATAAGGAGGAAAAGTGGCAGAACCTATTTGGCAGTTCAGTGGATTAACTAATAAATAGGTTTTTGATTTTTAAAATTCTTTTTAGTTATCCCTGTTTGCAGATGGGCTGAGTTGCTGCAGAGACTGTTTTTGGTTTATGGTGCTGTGGTTTTGTGTATTCTGGTAGAAAATAGAATTTCCCAGCATGTGGAAAACAAGTGGCTTTACCTCTGATGCTTGGTCAAGCACTCCCTGGGGATGCCTGATGACATGGCTGAGTGTTTGCAGGTTCTGGACAGCTGAAAGAAATAACAAATGACCAGAAGTGAAAACCAGCTTTATTGGTTTTGCCTTTTTGTACATTGCCTTTTAGAATGAAACTGTCAAGCATAGTCCTAAGAGGAGTTTGATCTATCTTAGGAAACTGAGGGCTTTTGATTTGGAGGTACAGGACTGTCAGGGCAAGTTACACTTTGAAACTGACATGTTTCCTAGTTTTGCTGGTAGCTGCTGAAAAACTGAGAGCAATCCCGTTTTTTCTTGGTTTTCCTCCTACTTGTTGCATTGTGTGTGGTGGTTACAGGCTTTGAGAGGCAGCAGTTGGTGAGGCATTGTGCAGAATTACACAATGGACCCTAATTTCAGCGTCCTGCACTGCAGTCCTTTGGGGCCTCTGCAGTCATTCCAGGGCTGTGGAACTGCAGGGCTGGAACTGCTCGGGGCTCTCCCCTTCCACACTGAGTGTGCCCTGCTTTGAAACACCTGTGGCATTTTCAGTTAAATCCCAGTGAGCTGGGAAGATTTGTGAGGGATGTAACTTCATTTTTGTATGAATGAGATGGTGTGAGGTGGTTTCAGATAAACTCGCTGGAGGTTGAGGGAGTTCTGTCTCCTCATTGGTGTTGCTTGTTGCATTGCCTGGTCTGTGCTGTCTCTTGGAGCCTGCACCTGCTGATGCATGTGTCAGGATATTTCTTGCTTTGTTCATCCTGGTACTTAGATGTAAATCTGGTTAAGGAGAATTTTGTATATAGCCAGGAACAATAATTCTCAGTTTAGGAAGGATGCAACTACATATTCCTAAGTACCAGTATTTTTGTGATACTTTATTATAAACTTCTAAGTGATATGTCAAGATGTTGAGTTAATATATGAACAGCTAATATGAATATATGAGTAGTTTCCTTCCTACTTTAATAAACAATATACATAAATTGTAAAAATTATCTTTTCACATAAGAAATTCTGTGTAATCAAGGTTGTACAAAGAATTAACTCTCCAGTGCTCTTCACACTGTGAGAAGAGCTGTAAGGTTAATGTTGCTGTTGTGGAGAAAAGTGTAACTAGCTAGGTTATTTTAATAGCTTTGTTTTTAAACTAGATTTCCTAAATTTGTTGCTGGTCACAGTACAGTTTTTTGACATGACTTCTGGAACAAATTGTAAAGATACCTATTTGTAGTGATTAAATTTTGATATGTTGTAGGAATCTTAAGCAAGCTTTAAAAATAATTTTTCTTAAAATATTTCTGTTAATATTTAGCTTCTTCAGAGATGATTAGATAACTGAAAAAATCTATACTTTTTAAAATTTTCTTTCACAGACAATGATTTGCAAGGAACAAATAGTTCAGGATCATTGGGTGGTCTTGATGTCCGTAGAAGAATCCCTATAAAGCTTATTTCAAAGCAGACCAATAAAGCCAAACCTGCACCTCGAACTCCAAGAAATATGAACAGGATGCCTGCGAAGACACAAGCTGGTGATGAAGGTAAATTCATGTAAATTCCCTGTAGTAGGGAAGTGTATTATTCCACAGCATTGTTCTAGACTTTACTCAGAGACTGAAGAGTCCAGGGTGCTGTCCAAACACAAAACAAATTTCAAATCTCCAAGTACTGCTGCACTGTAGGGCTTCAGTAGTGCCCATTTCCAAAAGAGGCTGTCTTACTATGTTGGTTCTACCTTTCTGTAGAATGGGCACAGCAGATTGGAAGTGCTGTGGCATTTTTGATGATTTCAGTAAAAGTGACCCATGCTCTTAATAGCAGCTGGTGTCAGTTACGAAAGTGTTGTGGTTGGCTCGTGTCTTTCTTCTCTTTCTCCTTTCCACAGAAGAATTTGATTATAACAAGGAGGAGCGATACGAATGTAAAGGAGGTGAAATGTTTGGCAACCAAAGGAGATTTCCTGGACCCATTTTTTGGGATTATAAGGTAAAGTCATGAATCTTTGCCTGTGTTTCATACCAAGTTGTAGATAGTCCTGGTAGATACTTTGTTAATTAAAAGTTTTTCAGTTGTTTTTGGTCTGACTAAAATTACATCCTCTGCTTTCTCCTGTTTGTGGCGTTCTTGCTTCCTTTTCAGCTAATTCAGAAATAATGGGTGTGTTGATGATAAATGAAATGAGAAGCTTTAGTGATGTTGGGGTTTGTTTTCTCACCTCCTTCTCTGTCCTACCAGATAAACTTGCTGGGGGAGAAGGATGATACACCAGTCCATTTCTGTGATAAGTGTGGATTGCCCATCAAAATGTATGGACGCATGGTGAGTGAAATTACCAGTGGAAGATGCAGCCATGGTTTCCCTTTAGATAAAATGAGGTTTTACTTGAGGCTTCTTGAGATCACTGATTTCAACAGGCATCTGAATAAACAGCAGAATAGTACCAGGATGGAGCTGGAGGCCTTCATTGCTCAGGTGTTTTTGTTCCATCTGTCTGACTGATTTTTCTTTACCCCCAGATTCAATAAAGTAAACCTGAAAATGTTAAACAAAAACCAGAACACCATCACAAAGAAAAAATCTTCAGTTTCTGGGGTGTTGACCTTACACTACTTTGGTTTGAAAATAAGCTTTTTATCTCAGTTGAAGACTTGAAGTGAAGTTAGAAAACACTGTTCACTTTTATGTACCTTTAAAAATCCCTGAGATTAATTTAGATTTGTAAGTATGATGTAACAGGCTTCAGCATGTGACTTAATGACAGTTAAGGCTTTTAAAACTTTCCTTCCTTGCCAGCAAGACAAGTGTAATCAGATTGCATGTGCAGCTTCTGTGAAAGTTCAGTGTTGGTAGTAGTGCAAAACTCAAACTTCTGCCAGTGTTTTTTACCAACACTTAACCCCAAACAACACTACCCCAAAAAAACCCCAAACTCAGTATAAACTTTTCTAGAAGGTTTCTGTGCAAAGATGGTGTAAATTGTTAACCACTGCTATGCTTCTTCACCTCATAGGTAACTTAGTTACTTTATTATAAGCTGTCTACTGGAGGGAGGAACTGTATTCTGCAGAATGACATAGATATTTATACACGATGTTTTAACAGAAATGTTTTATTTTAGATACCTTGCAAGCATGTTTTCTGTTATGACTGTGCTATACTACATGAGAAAAAGGGAGACAAGATGTGTCCAGGGTAAGTTATCTCAAGATTTGTTATTAAAGGAAATGTAAGAAAGTAACTTAAATATCTTATTTCAGATACTCTATTAACATGACTCTTATTTATGTACATTTAGCAGAGGCAGTAGTGTGCTCTGAACTTTCTTGTTCCTATTCCATATTTTGGGATTGTAACAGATCAGTGTTTACTTTGTTGGTTTTGGGTAGGTAACTTGTTATTGTTGTAATTTGAAAAGGAATTAATGGCAGTTTGATTTACTTAGTGAAAATGACCCATGTTATGTTTTAAAGTACAGAAGAATTTGTTTGAGAGATGCTACTTAAAAATTTTACCTCATGACATTTTTATGTTCTTTCATAGTTACATTTCCATATTTATAAACTAGGTAAACTTTAAAATCATTGAAAAGTTTCTTTCATTGCTACAGTGGGGCAAAATTGTCAGTTCTAATTTGGCTAATTATGTTAACAAGGAAGAACGCATGTCGAGCTCTCTGTGATGACAATAAACCAATATTCTCTTTTAATGTAGCTGTAACGAACCTGTGCAGCGAATCGAGCAGTGCGTCCGAGGGTCTCTCTTCATGTGCAGCATTGTTCAAGGGTGCAAGAGAACTTACCTGTCCCAGAGGGACTTACAAGCTCACATCAACCACCGCCACATGAGAGCCGGCAAGCCTGTTACCCGTCCTGCCATCGAGCCCGTGCACCCTCCCATCGCCCCGCCGCCGGCCGAGATTCCCGAGCGCTTCATAATGCCCCCCGAGAAGCACCACATGAGCCACATTCCGCCCAAGCAGCACATCATGATGCCGCCGCCGCCTCTGCAGCACGTGCCGCACGAGCACTACAACCAGCCCCACGAGGACATCCGCGCTCCCCCCGCCGAGATGTCCATGGCCCCGCCGCCGCCCCGCCCCGTCAGCCAGGACACCTTCCGCATCTCCACGAGGAAACACAGCAACCTCATCACCGTCCCCATCCAGGATGATTCCAACTCGGGCGCTCGAGAGCCGCCCCCGCCGGCGCCCGCGCCCGCTCACCACCATCCCGAGTACCAGGGCCAGCCGGTGGTGTCGCACCCTCATCACATCATGCCTCCCCAGCAGCACTACGCGCCGCCGCCGCCGCCGCCGCCGCCCATCAGCCACCCGCTGCAGCACCCTCCGCAGGCGGCGGGCACGCCCCACATGGTGTACAGCCAGGCCCCGCCGCCCCCCATGACCTCGGCCCCGCCGCCCATCACCCCGCCGCCCGGACACATCATTGCCCAGATGCCGCCCTACATGAACCACCCTCCCCCGGGCCCTCCCCCTCCGCAGCACGGCGGCCCGCCTGTCAATGTCAGCGCTCCCCCTCCCCATCACTATAACCCCAACTCTTTGCCGCAGTTCAGCGAAGATCAAGGAACTCTTAGTCCCCCTTTCACACAGCCTGGGGGAATGAGTCCAGGGATATGGCCAGCTCCGAGGGGGCCGCCTCCACCTCCGAGGATGCAGGGGCCTCCCGCTCAGGCCCCCCTTCCTGGACCACATCACCCTGATCAAGCCAGATACAGACCCTATTACCAATGATACAAGCAACTGTACGAATAGAGAATGCCATGAAGAGGATAAAACTAAATACAGAAGCCTTTTAATTAATTGTTTTGGGGTTATTTTGTTGTGGTTTTTTTAAGAATACTGTCATTTTGACTGTAAGACATTTTGAGGTTTGAATCTTAAATGATTTTTAAGCCTTGGCTCTTAACTTCAAATACTCTGTAGTGCTAAAATAAGTGGCTTAGTAGACCACAGTTGCATTTTAACAGAACTCCTGTTGCTAGTGTGGCTAAATTGTCCTAAGATGATCACTTGTAATATTATTTCCTGGAGAAAATGAACACGTGTTGTACCATTCTGAATATTGTTTTTGTTAAACCCAGTGTTTTTGTTAACCTGTGTACAAAAATTAAATTGAAATATGGTTGTAAATGTGGTGAGTTTTTATATGAAGTTAACATACACATAGTTCTGGGACACCATTTCAACACATATACCTTCCAAGCAGCAGTGTAGTGAAATATTAAAGGAACTTTATTATTTCTCCTACTGCCATTTACCTTTACTCATGAGGATTTCAGGCTGTAATGAATTCTTGGCACTAGAAATCAGACATGCAGAATTCTGCATTTACCACATTTCAGCTTTTCCACTTTTTTCTTTATGCATCAAAATGAATCTATCAAAGATAGAGCTTTGGGCATGACATGAAACTGTGTTTTGTGGGGTTTTTTGTTTGAGTTTTTGGAGTTCGTTTTAAAGTTAGTTTTGATTCAGAAGGTTCTGTTTACATGTAAGCTGCTCCGTGGAGTTGAATTCAAACTCCTGTGTTTACCTATGGCTGTGTTTGTGTGGAAGTGGCTGTGAACTGGCTTGCCATGTCCATGAAAAGCAGCTTCTTTTAGGCAGGGGAGTCACACTTGCCTCTCTCACTTTATATAATGTGTACAGTAGGAGAACTTCCCATTTGGATAATATGAGAAAAGTGGTTTGAAATCCCATGTGTAGAAATAAAAAGGTACACATTATTTATCTGCTTTGATTTTGTGATACGGGTTTAGTTGATCAGTCAGTCATTAGGTGTTCTGCTTTTCTCAAAAACTAGCAATATGAGCAGGCTTTTAGTTCTGTTTTTGTCCAAAATTTTTGTTTTATGAGAATACATTTAAAGAGAAGCATAATATAAAATGAGAAAGTTCCTTCTTAGTGCAGCTGGTAGCAGAGGCAGACACTAACAAGACAGTACTGTCTGTTGGTTGGAGTGTTTATCTTTCCATTTCTTATAAGTATTTGCACTGAACCATTGTTTTTCCAAATGCCACATTTCTGGCAGTGGTGCTTTTAGATTAAGTCCTTTGGGATTTTTTTAAAGTTTGTAGTTTCCTACTGTTCTCAAATAATCTGAGCCATCTTAAAGCCTCAGTGTTGCTTTTTATTTTGTAAAAATTCTTTTCCAGAATCACAAGTGTTAAATTTATGGAAGAGCTGTGACAGTGCAACATTCCGAATTTTGTATTTTTATGTCTAAACTTCATATTTTTAATTGATAGAGCAAGGGCTCTTTAGATTTATTCTGTTCTTGACTGCCATTGATATCCTTGTGACCACGGCCAAATCTTTTAGACTGCCTTTCAAGTAAAAACTTCTTTAGAGACAAGAACAAATAAATTCTGGGGTATGCAAATGGCCAGTAAGTGTCAACTGCTTGAAAATCTGCTTAGCTGTAACATACTTCTTTCTAAGAGAGAGTTATTTGGTTTGGTTGCTCTGAAAACTAAGTAATTTTAAATAAAATACCGTGGTGAAGCAAAAGAGGCTAATTGTGATAGTGTGCTATGAAATGGGCTGGTTGAAAATTTACTGTTTCTATGCATATGAAGGCAAAAATGACTCTGCCAGCATTCTTTTCTTTCAGTAACTAACAAACACATGAGGAATTTTGAGGACCCCTTCTGTCACTGTGAAGTTGCCTGGGAGGAAGCACTTTTGTGTTACAGCACGTGACTTCATCTGAGGAAAGCTGAATGTCTGATCCTTGTCCTTTGGCTCTGCCCAGCTGAGCTGAGGCCCAGCAGCACAGCTGTGTCACAGGGGCTCAGGGCTCCAGCTGCCTGTGCTGGGTCACACAGCACAGTGAGGGCTGTGCTCCACTTCAGCCCTGCTCTGGCTTTGGGAAAATCAGACATTCTGGAATGAGCCACTGCCCACAGTCACAGGTGCTGAGGAGATGAGGCCGCTCTTTCCACCCTGCTGGGCTTTTGGAGTAAGTCAGGTTGCAAGTTCTGTTACATGTTCACCCATCTCTTAACCCACATGAACAGTTCAAGATATTTCTGTGTCCAAAGCTATTCCTGAAGTGACTGTTAAAGTGTTTTCCTGAAAATGCTGAGGCAGATTGATTAAGGGAAAACAGCAGTTTTTGCTCTATCAAGAAGCACAGAAGATGAATGTATCTCTATCATTGTCACTGTAGACAGTGGGTGAGAATTTTTTTCCTCTGTATTTGAAACCAAGGTGACATATGTCATAGGGACAATGATGTATTACCCAAAAAGTCAATGGGATCCCTTGAGCTGGTTAATGACCATGGACCAAAAGTCTGTGTTAGAGAACTTAGCTGAAAAGTCATCCTATATAGGCAGGTCTTGGACTTGAGTCAAATTTCTATGTCGTCTCGGAAGAGGAAGACTTAAATATATTTTTTTAATTATTAAATCTGGATATAAATCTATTACCTAGGTAACTAAGGGCACTGTTGATGTTTCCATATTTACAAAGTTTAAAAATGCTTCCTCTGCTTGAACCCCTATGTTAACTGTCTTTTCAATTTGTTTATGGGTTTTGTGTATGTATGTTTTAACGCAGTTTTTTCCCTTGATTTGTTGGTTGGGTTGGTTTTTTTTATAAATACCTGGTCATTTTACTGAGAAGTTACAGAATTCATGTGTTGTATTTAATTGTGTAATTGACAGAGTTAGAAATTGTGAGATGTTCTTTCTTTGGATTCCTTCTTACTGTAAAGGCAAACATTTGAATTTAATTAATTATATTTATTTTGAATAAATCTCCTTGTCTGTGGCAGTGATCTCCTTCCCGAAGCATTGCCAAGCAGATCTCAGGTTTTAAAGAGAACTCTTGGCATTTAAATTTGTCAGCCACTGCATGTTCCTCTAACAGTGTAACATAAGCAATGAAAAAGAGTTTGAGGTGGTTTGTGTTCACCATGGAAAGAATGAAAGGACACCAGCAGATGGCCTGAAAACACCTGTGCTTTAGATTCTTGTCTCCTTACACTTTCTCCTTGATCCTATCTCTAACTTTGCTTAAAGAGCTGCCTGCAGCCATGCATACTTTATAACCAGGGGACCATTGTGTGAACTGTACTTTCTGTTTGTGGTGGGTTTTTTTAATACTGTTAACTTAAAGATTGGTTACCTACGTGTGATAAGTCATATTTTTCTTCCAAAAAGAAGAATTAAAACTGTGAATTATTTTTTTAAATCTGATCCAAGAGAATTATGTGGATCAAGTCTCAACACACCCCTCTCTTCTTAAACTGTTTTCTGCTCCGTAAAACTTGAAACTCCGAAAACTTGAACTCCGTAAAACTCCGTGTCTGAATTTGAGTTGTTTCTCTGTGTGCACTGCTGGGCTGCTGACAAAAGCAGGCCCAGATTCACAGCAGAAGGTCCTGTCAAACCTGGGGAGCTGGAGGAGCACTGTGCATTGGAGCTGCAATGGAATATTCAATGTATGGGAAATAAGTGAACTTTTTGTGTGTATGACACAGAGTCCAGTACAGCAGAGAAATGTGCAAGGTTTGGATTAATTTTCATCCTGATTACATTTCTAAAGTAAATATCAGTATTATACAAGTTGTATTTCCCTTTGTATTTATGGTGTTAAAACAATTCTTAGCAATTTATAAATCATCTTGATACAGTAATTGTCCCTTCACAGTTTTGAGCTTTTGCTCTGTGTTCAGATGTGTTATACTCACACTAGTGATTCACACTGACCAGTTTGCAGGCTGAACTGGCTGAATTTGTTTGGGCAATGTAAATGAAAATAATTATGTTTAAATCCCCTTTTAGTCTTGACTTAGCCATGAGACAGCAACTTTAGAAACTTTCCCTACTCTAAATGGGATCTCTTTATTCTCTTGAGTATGAGGCATTAATTTGTTGGTGTTTTTTAAAATTTATTTTCAGTGTAGACTCAGTTCATGAGTGCAAGAGATTAAAGTATTAAAAATGCAGCATACATCCAGAAATGTGTGGGTGAAATAGCAGCAGGAAGCTGGTAAATTAGCTCAGTCATTATGAAACTTTAGTGAGCAATTTTGATAATACAATTGAAGTGATTCCTGAGTGCCAGTAAGGCTCATTGTAACACACTTCTGGTAATGGGAAGAGTGCTAATGTCTGTGGGCAGGCAGGAATATTTCACAAAAGAACTTCAGCATAACTGCTTAGGGGAAAAATCCCCAAATGAGGAACTAAATAGAAGTAAGTATGTGTCAGTCATCAAGGGTCTTCTTCAGTTTTGTTTGTGAAAGTCAATGCTTGAACACACCTCCAAGATAATTTATGGTGAATTATTTCCTCCACTAAATAAAATCACCTAAGTGCTGATGATTGTTGCTCAACTTGTCCTTTGCCATTTCTGGGCCAGGTAAACTTCCAGGCATCTTCTTAGGAAGCAGAAGGGAGCAATGCATACAGACTGAGAAAACAAATTCTCCACATTCAGCACAGGGATGAGGAGTAGGGAAATGTGAGTAGCATTTCAGTAAAGAGGTGCTTAAGGATACTTCTTTCTTAATAGGAACTTAGTTTGAAATTGAAAAAAATTCAGGTTTGCTTGTTATAATCCACTCTCTGTTGGGCCTAAGACCTTGAATAAACACTTCTAATTTTTTGTTTCTGTATTTCACATTGCATCACAAAGTGATAATCAGGCTTGAGAGTAGTCTTGAGCATCACTGGCTCTCTGGCTTCTCCATTTTCCATCCCTCTTGCTGGCTATAAAATTGTTATTTAGTTATGAAGTCTCTGCCTTAGAATATGTGATGAGAAATTATAAACCTGTCAGCTCTCCAAAAAGCAGGTATGGAATTTGCCTTTTTGCTTAATTCCTGAGTCAATTACTAAAATGCAGTATATGGTAGTATTCTAACTGAGCAGCAACAGCACTCAGAGCAGGATGTTTAGAAACCTCAATAGTCAGGTTTCTGAAAGTCCCTGTCTCAAAAATGAAGCAGTAAATCTCCATCAGCACAGTATCCCACAAGGTGTTATCATCTGCATGAGAGTGAACTGCCCAGAAAAACACTGGTGTTGGAATAACAGAAAGTTACAGAAATAACCAGTACCTGGAGGGAATCTCTCATAAAGCATCAGAAGTACAATTGCTGCTGGTATCAACATTGA